GGGGAACTGAGATCCCACATGCCACACAGCATGGCCAAAAAATAATAAAAAATAAAATAAATTTAAAGATTAAACATACTAGGACTTTTTCCAAAATAAGAAAGGCTTTATTTTAAAGACAAAATGAATAGCATGAACTGATATCTAAATGAAAGTAAGTGATTTCACTGGGGTTTATAAAAGAGAAAGATGAACTCAGGTGTCAACTAAATATCAGAACCATAAAATAGGCGCATGAAAGAAGACATCCTAAAATTATTGTTGGTAGAATCATTGGGAATTATGGATGATATCTTTGCTTTTCCTCAATTTCACAAATGTATTGTTTATTGTATTTTATAATTAAAAAACAATTCATATTCCAAACTAAATATAGGACTTAAAATATAACTTCTATGACAGGAGACAGTCAATAAGAAAAAGTTCCAATTCAACTTTGACAACAAATATAATAACAACAATAACATTTACTTGGCATTCATAATGTGGTAGGCAATGAATTAAGTACTTTACATAGGTTATCTCAATTATCTCAAAGTACTTTATTAAAAAAGTACAGTTTGTATTCACATTTTGCAGATAAACTGAAGCACAGAAAATTTAAGTAACTTGCCCAAGGTTCTCCAGGTGGTAAGAGGCAGAGTTGTGATTTTTTGAACCTGTCAATTCTCCAAACACATTTATGAAAGGATGGAAAAAAGAGAGAGGGAGAGAGGAAGAAAAGATACCGGGGTGGGAGGAGGAGTTGTCCCTTTGGTAAGAATACTTGGACCAATGAAATGGATGTCTGAGGTATCTGTTGTCTGAGCATAGGAATCAGCTGGGGGGTAGTCAGAGATGCAAAGTCTCAGCTTTGCCTCAGATCTACAGAATCAGAATCTGCATTTTTAAAAACATTCCAAGGGATTGTTTGGAAATTGTTGGCATTCCGAATTTGGGAAGCCCAGTAACTGAAGATAGTAAATATAGAATCCATTTGGAAAAAAAATAGAATCCATTTGTGTTTGTGTGGACTGATACAACCTTGTCAGAAATGGGGTCAGAGCTTCATGGATCAGTTTTTTCAAAGTCTGTTTCATGGGCTGGGAAAATGTCTTAAAGGATTGCTATCAGAAATTTGAAAAAAAAAAAAAAGAGAGAGAGAGAGAGAACAGAATAGTAAAAATACCAGGGTGCTTCTCATACAGGAAGGGTAAATATTATTACATGAAACTTTTATTTCAAAGGTGTGGGTGTGTGTACTGGGTCTTGAGGTATGAGGTCCATCTTATTCACTCTCTGTCAAGAAAAGTTTTAGCAACTGGTATTCACACGGTGGCTGGAGGCAGCCATGAAATTCCAAGCTGACGTTTAGAGGTGTGGTGGGTCTACTTCCTGTTTCTGATAAATGTAAGAATTCCGAATGAAAGAGCGAAGTGGATGGGAGAAGAACGGACGGCTCCGAAATCACCTATCTTCCTGTCCAGATGCAGAAACCCAGGCCCAGAGAGCAGAGAGACTGGCCCAAGGTCACGCAGTAAAATGGAGACTTTCGGCTTTGGAAAGGCGAGCCTACAGTCAGGTCTTTCATTCCTTTTTTGTCCCCAACCATGAAAGACCTGGGAGGCTGGGGGGATCTGGCCAGGAGGCCAAGCAGTCTGGGGGACATGACTGTGGAATGTGTTGGGGAAACAAGACGCCTTCTCTTGCAGGCCCAACAAGCCAACAGGCCTATGTGTGGCCAGAAAGGGCTCTGGTTATCTGCCGTCCGCCTCTGTTTCGTTTGGTCTGTCAAGTCCAGCAGCAAAGTGGCCCAAACGTGTGAGGTTTGATAAAAGTTGGAAGGTAAGAGGAGGGAGGTGGCAGGCCGTCAGGGACCAGAGTTTGAGAGACGTTCCAGAACCTCCTCTTCTACATTTCCTCTCAAAAGGCTGGGAAAGTCAGAGGTCCCTGCTCTCTCCCTCCACAGCCTCCCCTCCCCCGGAGACTGTGGCCAAGACCCCAGACTTCTCATCTCATCTCGGGTGGAAGAGGATAAACTCTTAAAACTTGGGTGCTGGGTCAGGGGATTTAGACTTTTAAAAGAAGTCTAGCTTCTTTAACTTCCTTTTATTTTTTAATTCAATAAACAATACAGGGTTAGGGGGAAGCAATACAGAGAACATAGGAAAGAGAAGAAAACACATAATTTTACCACCCCAAAATTAACTATGTTGCCATAATTTTGTGAATGATTTTCAAAGTGGGCCATAGAACCTGTCCTGTTCACTTTTCTCACCTGGTGATGGGTTGTAAGCATTTTTTTTTCTCTTTTTTTCTTTTGGTCAATTATTATTATTTACATTACTGGACATTTTATAAGAAAGAATTATCATTAGTTGTTTATTTTAGATAGGACAATAACTTTGTGCCTATTCTTTTTTAAAAAGTCCTTTTAGAGATACCTTCTGACATTTTCCGAGCCAAATGTCTGGAGGAGTAATTCAGTAGGAGCAGAGTGAAAATAAGGTTGGCCATAAGTTGGAAATCATTGATACTCTGCTGTATACCTTTTAAAATATAGGGGTTTTGCAGTATTCTTCTGTAACATGTTTTTCACCAATTTTGGTCACAGATTCCTTTGAAAATCTTAAGCAAGCTATGAATCCACTCCCCAGAAAAATCCACTTTTGCTTACAACACCCACAATTTTAGGAGGTTCACACCCCCGTAAGACTATTCGTGTACCCAGGTTAAGAACTCCTGACCCACAGCATGATTTTTTTTTAAAAAAGACTTCAGAGTATTCAAGCAGATATATCATAACTTTACTTAACCAGTCCCCCTATTCTTGGGAATTTTCATAGTAATTATAAATATTATTAATAAAGCATTCTATTACATATGTCTTTGCATACATATTATGACAAATTCCTAAAAGTATCAAAGGATATGCCTGTTTTAAAGGCTTTTGTTACAGCATATCACGTTGGCTCCAGAAAGTTTTGTATCGTTAATGTCTGAACATCAGTTCCCAGCATTGCAGTCCCGCCATCTGGATGTAGCCTGGCTTAGGCAGCCAGCAGCGTGTCCTTGGGGGAATCTGTCCTGGCTTCCTGAGTCTGTGTCCTCACCTGCAAACTTGAGGAGGTTAAGCCAGCTGACCTCCAGGATCTCCCATTATATTCTGTGATTCTTCCAACCCAGAAAGTCTGGCTAATTCTGCATGGTCCTCCTAATTCTGCATGGCTAATTCTGCAAAGGCCCCGTCATTGTCATTCCGCCTTTGCTCATAGAGAAGATTCCACATGCTTCTAACCCTGCTCCCAGTTGGGGGTGGTGGGGCCAGCTTTAGCAAGTTTCCAAATTAGACTGAGGGTTGGAATCCTGACTCCAACCAAGGGTAACTGTGGGGAAGTGACTTAACCTCTCTGTGCCTCAGCCATTTGTTAGATGTTTAATATCTGTACATACCTCACAGGGTCAAGGGAGGATTAATTGAGGTAATACATGTTAAAGTGCTTTGAACAGTGCCCAGAACATAGAGCACACTCACCAAGTACTTGCTATTATTAATACTATTACATCTCTCCCAGCCAGCACTCCCCGCCCCTGCCCAGGACTTACCTTTGCCCGAAGGGTGATGTGCAGATTCCTCAGAGTGGAAGGCAGCCTTTGGCAGCACCTGTCCACACCTGCCCTACAGCCTGCCTCCCCCTTGCATCACACACCCTGTGATTACCGCCAAATGGAACAATTCCTACATCCACCCCTTCTCACCCTCATGCCCCGACTTCTTCTCCTTGGTGCCTTAGCCAGAATTTTCCTCTCCGCCCCCAGGGCATCTCCTCCTGGTGCCTTCCAGAGGGTGGTCAGGGATCCGGTCTATTCATACCTGGGCCAGACTGAGCCTTTAAGTCCCTACCATACAGTGGCCTCAGTCTCCTACTTTATACACTGTCCTTAGAGATCTGATGGTTTCTAAGGTCCTCCAGTTCTGGACAGGTCACTGGTTCCAGAATGAGACCTGGAAGATCCTTCCCTTGGCTTCTGGCTTCACTTATGCTCACTTAGTGTCCCTCCCTGGAAAGCCCTGTATGTCACCACAGCACCCTGGCCCAGCTGCCGTAACCCACAGACCTCGCCGACAGCCTGTGGTCAGAGCAGCACCATGGGGGCTGGCCGGTCATGGCCAGAATTTGAGAATCCAAGGTCAGGAGCCTCCAGAGCCGGCAGGCCTCTTCCACTCCAGTCTGGGGACCTCAGTGATATCATTTGTCTACTAGGTCACTCGCTTCTCTCACCTGAGGGGCGTGGCGTGTGTCAAAATGCCTAGACCCTTTGGAGATGGCATTCTGCAGATTTAGGGCTGTTCAGGCCAGGTTGGAACCTAAGTCTCACAGCACTGGGTGACCCTGGGCTCAGGTTCATCACACCCCAAAATGACTGGACTTGGTTTTCGCAAGAGACTTTCAGACCTGATATTCAAGCCCCAATCTGCCAAGGCCACATATCTGAAATGCTGTTTCCAAGGCCTTTCCTCAAGTAGCCACTATTGGAAGTTACGGAACATAAAATATAGGCATTAACATGGAAGGAACTTGAATTTTGCCCCCCTCTCCCTTTTTGTTTGTTCTGTGGGGCTAGTGATGAGTTTTCCTAAAAAGTCCTAAAACTACTTCCAGTTACCAAATATAGCCTCATTCATCCCCCACCCCAAATTGTCCTGTCTTCACACTGGACTCATCTCCCTGCAGCCCCTACCCCAGTCTGGGTTTGTCACAAGTCAGTAGGAAGCTGCAGTTGGGGAGGGAGCATATTTGGTCTCTTCTCTCCTTATCTTCTGCCTCACACACCACCCCCTCCCACTCTGCTCAGAACTTGACAAGCTTGATTTCCCTTCCTTCCAGGGATGGAGCAGGGACCAGAGGACTTACTTGATGAGTCCTGTCGAGGTAGCTGAATTTGGGCACTGGGCAGGCATCTACTCCCGCATGGGGCCTCTCTGTGAGTCCTTGGGAGACTTGCTCCGCCCTCCCCACCTATGAAGCTGCTCAACTGCAGGTCCTTGGCAAGGTGAAAGTAACTCCATACCACCTGGCGGCTCTCCCTCGTCAGCTGGAGGCATCCTCCATCCCTCTGTCGCTTGCCCACCAGGAATCCCTGTTGGACAGACCAGGAACTAAGCCTCTGCTGGCCCCCTCTCTCGCTGTCCCACGTGAGTGCCCTCTCCCCGCAGACAGCAGAGCCTTTGCTCCTATCAATCGGCTCCTGTCTTCCAAGGTCAGAGCAGTTGGCCAACACAAAGGCTGCCCTTTAAACGGGATGGGCAGAGGTAAAGCAGCAGCCTATTGTGTCCACTGAAATGTAGGAGATACATTTTGAGCTTGAAGAGGAGTTACTCACAGTGCTACAAAGAGGAAGTGTCCCCGTTACTCCTTTTTGAGGGGAGGAAGATTTACAGCACACCAACCACTCTCTTCAAAAATTGCCCCCCTAACCTCAACCACTCTCAGTCCTTTAAAACCCACCCATGGTGCGGGTGAGGGATTGAGGACAGCCAGTTTTTGTCTCCGCTGTAAATTGTGTACCACAGGCTTGCACCTTGCTCTGGGAAGTGACATCTGTTATACCCCTGCCTCTCAGCTGCCATTTCCATTTTAATGTCTCATTACACTCATAATAATCATTGTTTAGTCACTCAGCCGTGTCCAACTCTTTGTGACGCCCAAGAACTACTGCCCACTAGTCTCCTCGGTCCATGGACTCTCCCAGGCAAGAATACTGGAGTGGGTTGCCATTCCCTTCTCCAGGATGTCTTCCAGACCCAGGGATTGAATGGTCATCTTGATTTGATGCTTACTATACATATGGCAGGCTCAGGGCTGACCATTTGTAGTGAATTTTTTTCTTTTTTCTTTTTTTCAGTTTTCTGTTTTTGTTTCTCCTTCTGCAACCAGCGTCCTGATTTCTTTTCCGGTCGTTGCCTCTCCCTCATTGTGTGTGGGCTGTTGGGGTGTACAGCAGAGTGCGTGGTACCCCTCTCCCAGAGTGTTGGATGCTAATGGATCACAGCTGCCTCCTCGTTGTGAGGGAGGATTTCTCCAGGTGAATCACCTGGAGCTGCTCGTGGTCCATGGCTGACTAATATAGGGCAAACCTGGCCTCCTGGGCCTCAAGAGGGGACAAACTTGGAGGTGTAATCCATGCTCTAGCACGGTCCTTGGGATCAGCTGAGACTAGATGTCTCCTGAAACCACATCTTTGATCACTTTCTCCCCCTACCCGCTTCAGCCCTCTCTCAACAAATACACTCCATTGCACAAGAATCCACTTCTCAAGCTCTGCTTCAAGGGAGCCCTGCATAACACAGGTAGGAATGTGATCCAAGGCGGGCCAGTCTCTCAGGACGCTGAATAAAGGTTGGGAGTGAAAAAGAGTTAGCACTTTCTGTTGCACCTTGCAACCTGGCTCCCTGAGCAGATTGTCTAATATTCCTGCTGTTTTGATTTCTGGAGCTCCTCTGGTTCTTCAGTTTTTCTTTGGATTCTGAGTATTCCACATCCTTCTTTTCCCTTTTACTCCCTTTTTAGCCGGACTCCCTTTCTTATGACCACCACCAAAGAACTACACAGATGGGGCACGTACCATCTCGATCCTCCAATCATCCTAGGCGCATAAAAAGCTGAGGCTCAGAGAGGTATAGTCACCGGCCTTAGGTCACACAGCTAGTAAATGGTATTAGTAGGAGCTCAGATCTAACAGCAAAGCCCCGCTTTTAAACATTCTGATGTGCTATCTCCATGGGGAAGAGCAAGCTGGTGTGAGCCACAGCCCTCCACACCTCCTCTTGGTTAGGTTAACATGCAAATGCATGAGTCACCATTGATCCTCCAGGTAGTAGGGTGGTGCGGACTGTGTACCTGGGTTTGGGTCTTAGGTTGGAATTCAAGCTCAGCCTCTTGGTAATGGTGTCAATTGGGCCAGTTACCTAAGCTCTCTGAGCCCCAGTTTCTCCATTGGTTCAATGGTGGCCATGATGTCTAGACAGGATCGTGGGGGGGTTAAAGGAGATCCTGAAAGTGAAGTGGTTAGCCGGGTACACAGTATGTAGTAGGCACTCAGGAAGTGGTAGCTGTTAGTAATTGCTGTTGTGTTGTCACTTACTGTCATACAGAGGTGACTTGGAATGTGTTTCAGCCAGTGAAAGACCAGAGGAGCCTCATGGTGAGGACTTTGTCTCGGGCTCCCGGTGCTCTCTTGGGCCTTCTGTCCTTCCAGATAGACCATGAGGGATTCCCCCCCCCCCCCGCCCCACGGGCCTGCAGAGTGTTATAGGCCTGCAGAAATCAGGCAGGGGGCGCAGGTGACTGGATTGGCCCTAGTGGGGCTGCATGGAGTCAGAGTCCGTCTTAAGAAGGTAGTAATGATCAGGATTAGCTGCTTGTAGCCATTTGGGAATTTAGGCCCAAAGCAGCCAAATCTTGGAGTTTTCAAGAAAAGTGGAGAGTCTAGGTTATTATGTGAAATCTCCCAGTTTCTAAAGGTTTTAACTTTAGGCACGTTTTTCTAATGCTGATTGGGCCAAACTCAGTCGCCTGTGGCTGAATGTAGCCTTCGTTTGCAACTCTAGGTCAAAGGCTTTGGTCAATGGTTCTGTGAAAACGAAGGCTGTCTTCTCCCCAAATCAGCAGAATTCATCTCCAGAGCCTGAAGGTGGAGCTGGTTCTGGGTATTGCCTCTGCCCTTGGCTGGTTTTCAGCACTCCTTTAGAAAGAAGGTCTGACTTCATAATGGGAACCCAGGTCATTAAGACCCACTTTCTGCTCTAACAGGAGGTAGGGATTCATGGGGTGAGATTTCCTGTTCATCAGAAATGCATGGAGAGGAACGAAGGCAAGTGTGTGTGTGTGTGGAAGGGGGATGAGTATGGAATGGGTCCAGCTCAAAGCTCAAAACTAGAAGTTTCAGAGTAGCTTTTATTTTTGTTTATTTACATTTTTAGAGGCAAGAAAGAAAATTAAATATCTATTGAGCTAATCTGAAAAGAAATAAAACTGTTTTTTTCCCCCTAGGAATGTCCAGGAAATATTGTCAAGAGAGAAAAATAAGTTGCAGGCTAGTGTATAAGAGGATTTGATTTCTGTGAAAGCAAGAGTAATAATACAAATCCCCGAAAAACCATGTGCCAGGGTGTACATGTTTGTGTGTGAACTAGAGTAACAGTGTGGGGTGATCCCCACTGGTTGTTAGCGTTGGTTACCTCAGGGGTAGAGATGGGGAAGGGCTAGATAACAACTTCTAATGTGCCTATATGGTGTGTGTATGTGTTGCCGCACTGCCTAGCTTGCGGGATCTTAGTTCTTCAACAGGAATTGAACCCGTGCCACGGCAGTGAAAGAGCCAAGTCCTAACCACTGGGCCACCATGGAATTCCTTCATGTGCATATATTTGTGTTCTGTCATTTTACTTGTTTTAGGAAGCCTGCACTGCTGTTGTAATCTAAAAGTCATACGATTAAGAAAAAAATTTAAATACACTTACAGTAGTGCCTACCAAGACTGACTAAAATCCTGTAAAGCCATCTCATTTGCCCCTATAATTTTTTTTGAAGTATAGTTGATTTACAATATTGTATTAGTTTTAGCTGTATGGCAAAGCAATTCAATTATGCACATATATAGTACATATCTATATTCTTTTTTTCCTGATTCTTTTCCATTGGAGGTTGTTGCAAGACATTGAATACAGTTCCCTGTGCTATTTAGCAGGTCTTCATTGCTTATCTATTTTATATAAAGTAGTGTGTATCTGTTAATCCCATAAATCCCTAATTTATCCTTCCCCTACTTTCCCTTTGATAACCATAAGTTTGTTTTCAAAGTCTGTCGGTATGTTTCTATCTTGTAAGTAAATTCATTTGTGTCATTATTTTCAGATTACATATATAAGTAATATATATTTGTCTTTGTCTGAGTTCATTTAGTATGATAATCTCTAGGTCCACCCATGTTGCTTCAAATGGCATTATTTCATTGTTTTTTTATAGCTAATATTCCACCGTATGTATGTACCACATCTTCTTTATCTAGTCCTCTGTTGATGGACATTTAGGTTGCTTCCATGTCTTGGATATTGTAGATAGTGCTGCAGTGAACCCTGGGATGTATATATCCTTTTGAATTATGGTTTTCTCTGGATATATGCCTAGGATTGGGATTGCTGGATCATGCATGTGTGTGTGCATGCGTGATAAGTTGCTTCAGTTGTGTCTGACTCATTGCAGTATGGACTATGGACTACAGCCCACCAGTCTCCTCTGTCTGTGGGATTCACTAGGCAAGAATACTGAACTGGGCTGCCAGGCAACCTTCCCAAGCCAGGGACTGGACCAAGTCTCCTGTGTCTGCTGCACTACACGCAAATTCTTTACTGCTGAGCCACTGGAGAAACTGCTAGATTGTATTGCAGTTCTATTTTTAGTGTTTTTTTTTTTAAAGGACATTCCATACTGTTTTCCACAGTGGCTTCACCAATTTACATTCCTACCATCAGTGTGGGAGGGTTCCCTTTTCTCTACGCCTTCTCCAGCATTTATTGTTTGTCGACCTTTTGATTATGGCCATTCTGACCAGTGTGAGGTGATACCTCACTATAGTTTTGATTTGCATGTCTCTAAAACTCAAGGAGATAGTTAAGGACAGGAAGCCTGATATGCTACAGTTCATGGGGTCACAAAGAGTCAGATACAGCTTAGTGACTGAATAACAACAACAATAATTAGTGATGTGGAGCATCTTTTCATGGCCTGTTGGCCATCTGTCTGTCTTCTTTAAAGAAATGTCTAGTTATGTTTAAGTTAAGTAAGTAAGTATAGGTGTTAGTTGCTCAATTGTGTCCAACTCTTTGCAACCCCAAAGAGTAGCCCACCAGGCTCCTCTGTCCATGGGATTTCCCAGGCCAGAATACTGAATTTTCCTTTTCCAGGGGATCTTCCCAACCCAGGGATGGAAGCCAGGTCTCCCACATTGTAGGCAGATTCTTTCCTGTCTGAACCACCAGAGAAGCCCCCTATTTAGGTCTACTGACCACTTTTTGATTGGGTGGGGTTGATATTTCATTGCATGAGTTGTTTGTATATTTTGGAAATTGAGCTCTTGTTGGTCACATCATTTTCAAATATTTTCTCCCATTCTGTAGGTTGTCTTTTCATTTTGTTTATAGTTTCTTTTGCTGTGCAAAACTTGTAAGTTTGATTAGGTCCCATTTATGTATTTTTGCTTTTATTTCTATTGCCTTGGCAGACTGATCTAAAAAACACTGCTATGATTTATGTCAGAGAATGTTTTGCCTATATTCTCTTCTAGGATTTTTGTGGCATCATGTCCTATATTTAAGTATTTAAGTCATTTCGAGCTTATTTTTGTGTATGATGTGAGGGTGTGTTCCAACTTCATTGATTTGCATGCAGTTGTCCTACTTTCCCAGCACCACTTGTTGAAGAGATTGTCTTTTCTTCATTGTATATTCTTGCCTCCTTTGTCAAAGATTAATTGACCATAGATGTGTGGGTTTATTTCTGTGCTCTCTATTCTTTTTTAAGAAAATATTTATTTGGCTGAATCAGGTCTTTGGCGGCATGCGAACTCTTAGTTGCGGCATATGGGATCTAGTTCCCTGACCAGGGATCAAACCCAGGCCCCCTGCATTGGGAACACACAGTCTTATCCACTGGACCCCCAGGGAAGTCCCTGAGCTCCCTATTCTATTCCATTGACCTATATGTCTGTTTTTGTGCCAGCTCCACACTGTTTTGATTACTGTCGATTTGTAGTATTATCTGAAGTCTGGGAGGGTTGTGCCTCCAGCTGTGTTCTTTTTCCTTAGGTTTGCTTTGGCAGTTCTGGGTCTTTTGTGGTTTCATATAAATTTTAGGATTATTTATTCTAGTTCTGTGAAAAACAGGTAATTTGGTAGGGATCACATTAAATCTGTCTATTATTTTGGGTAGTATGACCATTTTATTTTTTAAATTGTTTTTAGAGAATAGATTTATTTGTTTATTTTAAAAAATCTTGGCCATGCCATGAGGCATGTGGGATCTTAGTTCCCCAAGCAGGGATTGAACTCATGTTCCCTGCATTGGCAGCACAGAGTCTTAACCACTGGACCACCAGGGAAGTCCCAGCATGGCCATTTAAAAATATGTATATTTATTTATTTATTTTTGGCTACACTGGGTCTTCGTTACTGCACACAGGTTTTCTCTAGTTGTGGAGAGTGGGGGCTACTCTCTAGTTGTGGTGTGCAGGCTTCTCATTTCATTGCCTTCTCTTGCTGGGGAGTATGGACCCTATGGCACATGGGCTTCAGTAGTTGCAGCTCATGGGCTCCAGAGCACAAGCTCAGTAGTTGTGGTATACAGGCTTAGTTGCTCCATGACCTGTGGGATCTTCCCAGACCAGGGTTCAAACCAGTATCTCCTGCATTGGCAGGTGGATTCGTAACCACTGGACCTTCAGGGGAGCTTTCTAGCATGGCCATTTTAGCAATATTAATTCTCCCAATCTAAGATCCTGGAATATCTTTCCATTTCTTTGAGTCGTCTTCAATTTCCTTTGTCAGTGTTTTATAGTTCTCAGCATATAAGTCTTTGACTTCCTTGGTCCATAATTATTTTTGTCAGTTACACTGCTGTATATGTTCAGTATTGGAAAATCAGCAAGTGCTGAAAAGTAAAAAAAAAAAAGTAAATAATTGAAATTACTAGAATTCCCACCCATTACCATTATGGCGCATATCCTTTTGACTTTAAGCTCATGGAGACAGTTAAACCTTCCTGTGTGCCAGACCCCATGCTGACATCTGAGAACCACAGTGTTAAATCTTGCCCCACAATGCAGGGCTTCCCAAGTCACACTCAGGACATGGTGTTTCACTGGCTTCATCCCCAGGAGACTCCGGGTCCATGGAAGGGGACCAGGCCTGGGAATCCGAATTTAGCATGCTCCTAGGGAGATCCTGAGGCAGGTGCTCTTAGGACAATGCTTGGAGTCACCCAGCTGTGGTCCAGCCTGCTCATCGCCAGTGAGCAAGACGGAGGCCCACAGAAAAGGCACTTGCCCAGGGTCACGCAACCAGGATAGCAGAGCCCAGTCTCCCCCATCCCCTCCTCCCTGAGAGCTCTCTCTGCTGGGCTCCTGCCACTTTCCTCATGCCGACAGATGTTATTGTTTTCTTATGCCGCCAATTAAACAAAAATCTTGTCAACAGGCGACAGGCCTAATGC